CCCTCGCCACTTCCGCCGTGTGCGACCCTTCCCCCCCTGCTGCCCCACCTGCCCTCACCCCTCCCGCCGCATGTGATGCCTCCCCCGAGACGGCCACGTCTGGAGCCGTCGTCGACCGTGGTGTGAGCGGTGTCCGTGCATGAACCGCGCCCTCTTGCGCGTCGGTGGATGGAGTCATACGTGCCGATGCCGCGCGATTTCCCCTGCCCTGTCTGCCTTCCGTCGCAGCGTCGACGTTGAGGACTTCTTCCGATACTGCCCGCCCTCCTGCGCGTCGTCTATCGCCAGCGTCGTCTATGCGAAGGCCGCCACTCCCCCGCCTGGACGACTTGCGGTGCAACGGCATGTCGTCAGAGTCTTTGAACTCCGTCCCCTCCTGCGTCGCCACCTCCTCCGACACCCACTCTTCATCCACCACGTAACCTCCATGTGTCGGGGCGCCTTGGAGGATCTTCCTCTTCTTGCTGGCCACGTGGCGGCCCTTCTTCTCCCGGGCCGGCGGTTGTTTTGCGAGGTTGGCAGCGGCCTTGCCGCGTCCGGAACCGCGGGACGACATGGCGCAAGACACACCCACGACAACCTTGTTCGCCCGCTTCGCTTCGATGACGTGCCCTGCGCTATCCTGAAGCCAAGTGTGAACTGCGATGGTGGTGTGGGCGACGTATTCGACGACGTCCGCGGTGACGATGATAATCCCGACGACGAAGGCGACGATCTTTGAAAACGCGACGAAGGCGGTGAAGACGACGGGCGACATGATGTGCTCGCCGACGAGGATGTCGCCGAAGACGACAGCGAAGACGACGCAAGCTGTGAAGACAGCGACGTTGGCGATGAACGCGGTGATGATGGTGCTGACGGCGACGACGTCGAACAAAAAGCCACGATGGCGACGATGGCGACGAAGGCGGTGATGAAGGCTGCGAAGGCGATTTACGTGGCAAAGACGATTGCCACGGTGGATGAACAAGCGCGGCGGGCGGCGGGGACTGCATGAGGTAGACAGAGAGAGTGCTTTCGTGCAGTTACGAAGAACGCCCGCATCCTTTTAAACACGTGTCACGCAGGGTGGACGGCAACGAAGGAGCAGCGCGAAGGCCAGCCGAAGTTCGTTTCCATGCTCCGCCAAACAATACGAAAAGCACAGGGTTATCGTGGCGGGCGAGACTAAAGGCGAAGGGTCGCGGGCAACGAGGTTGTGCATCTGCTGCGCTACTGCCCTTCGACTCACTTACCTTCGTCGATTATGGACACGGAGGGACCCCACAGGCTGAAATTTTGCCGCCACAAATGACTCCATCCCGCTCCCCCATCGTCCACACTCCATGCCGTACAGGAACGACGACCGAACTCGCCTAAACCCCCAAACCCCCTAAACCCCCATGGCGATGGAGCAATGACGTTTGTTGTGGCTCTTCATCGTCGACGCCATTAGCGCCCCGTGTTTCTCCATGCATTCCGTCATTGCCTCAAAAGTTTGCTGCCTCGTGCTCTTCCTCTTGTCGAAACCGCCTGCGCCACCCGTCGTCAGCGAAGAACCTTTTTTGGACCCGTCGTCGTCGTCGTCGTGCTCTGCACCACCGTCCMCGTCGGCCACAGATTCAGGATCCGCAGAAGAGGCGGACAGGAAACGTACACCACCCTGAGCACCAGTGTCGGCGATATTCTTCGGGTTTATGGTGTGGTTCTTGGCGGTCAACCCCAGTATCTCGTCGTAAACCGCACGATCCATATTGAAATTGAAGCCCTTCGACATCCTGTCCTTCCTAGACAATTGGAAGAAGTCCTGTTTCCCGGACAGTCCTTGGAAATAATGAACCTTCTTGAACTGCTGCATCAGATTGTCTCACTTCTTCCCGCAGCGATCGGCCTCTCTGTCGACGCCCACCTTCTTCAACCTCGTCGCCACATCCAGCCACTTCCATTCTCGCGGCTTCATACGAGCATACGCGTGGCCCATCCCTTGCAGATGGGCATCCTGATCACATTTAGCCCGGATGAGGGCTATAATGTCGTCGACGGACCAGAAGTGACGACCTCCTTCCCCATCGACGTCACCTTCGGCATCGCTACCCTTGCCAGCCGTCCTTTTGCCCCGACGACCATTGCCGGCACACGACCTCGTCTTCCCGCCCCTCCCTCCCATAGCGGCCTCCTGCTTCGACGGCAAAATGTAGCCTGCGTCGTCCTCCCCACCTTCACCGCCATTGTCGTTCTAGTCGGGGTCGTGCGTGTCCGCCACTGCTTCCTCGCTGTCGTGTGCGTCCTCCCCAACACGCAATCGCTGCACCCCCCGAGCTATGGACTCCTCCCGCCCGGACCGCATCAACCGTCGCTGTTCTGCCCACACCTCCCTCCCGTCACGTGTGTCACCGACATCAGCGACGCCACGCGCCGTTTCCCTACACTCGCCAACATGTCGGCCTGCACTCGAACCGGCAGACAGGGGAGACGGAGACTGCATCCACTGGGGGGGAGCGGAGGCACCCCTACACACAGACACCGGCCGAAATTGCTGCCTCTAAGGATCCTTGTTGTTCCCCGAATCCTCCCGCAGCGGCACTGGAGACCTGGATGTTCGCTGAACAGCCGTCACATCGCCGCCATCGTCGTCGGGATGGGGGTTTACGATGACCGTTCGAGAGACGGCTGCCGACCTCCCGCTACCAAGTCCAAACGACAGATTCACGCCGCCATCGCCATCATGGTCGCTGAGCCCTTGCTGGAGGAGTTCGGTGTAGGACTGCCCATAACCGCCCTCGCGGCTTCCAAACAGCTCTGTAGCCGCCCACTCCTGGGTGGATCCGCTTCCCAGCGGCACGGTTCGTGACCGTCTATCATCTGCCTCCTCGTCGGACGTGTCAGGCAGAGGTTGCAAGTGCGGTGGCAGGTGCGTGTAACCGGAACGCTCCGACGGCCTTGAACTCTTCGACGGGCTGTGCCCAGACCACCGCCCACCGTGCTCCCCTGTCGACCTGCTGATCGCCTGCCGGCCCTCCATCCTGGCGTTGTTCTTCAAAGACCTCCTTCTGCGACCACGTCGCGGAACGGTGCCGAGGATGCACACGTGGAAGACAACCAGGAGGAGGAGCAATATGACGACCAACAGCAGCAGCAGAAGCCTCCGAAAGACGTCGGCCATGAAAGGCACGTGGATGACGGTGGCAGCTAGAAGACAACGGAGGATCAATCACGTAACGGCGAGGGACACTGCTGCAAACGCCTGAACGCAGCAAACAACAAAAGCAGGGTAACGCATTCCGTTTGTGAAGACAGTGCGCAATCGCCCAGCCGGGGGACGGTTGAAATATTCGAATCTGGCGACCGTTGGGCGCCTTCCCGCTCGGGGCCAAGGGCGGCGACGCAAGACAGCCGCTTTTCGACGTCGTGGAGGCCAGCAGGCTGCAAAAGGGGACCATTGGCGGACTGTTCCATGACGCCGACCGTTGCCGATCGAAGATGTCCGTCCACGGGCACCAGGAACGGCAGTGGTACAGACGGCCATCGCAAAATGTCGTCGAGAGAGCTGCCGAGGACGTCCCGATTCTTCCGGATGCTCAACCTCCGAGGGACCTCGGGAGGTCTCTTGGGGAACGCGTCGAAATGGCTGTAGCCCGAGGAATCCCTGAGGAAATGTTTTCACATTTTTTTTCCAATTTCTTTCCCGAGGATAAGTGGAAGGATCATTTCCTCGGGTGATTTACGTGCCTGAGGAGTGTGGAACGAGCCCCATAATCTTGTACTATCTCCATTGTTTGCGATCTTGGGCTTGTAGTTGTCCTTTGCCTGGGAGCTCACCCTTGAAGATGGCGTTGTTGAGGGATCGCCAGATAACATGCATGATGATCCTTCTGCAGGTCTGAGCTGGGTATCCCCAGCCCAAATGTTTTGTTTTGTTTTTTGGGAAAAAAAACTTTCCCTTTTTTTTGCGAGTCCAGTACCTTCAGCGTCATGATGAGGGGCACAGCTTCTGAAGGGCTCTGTGCTCCCCTTGAAGCGTTTGCAGCTTGAAAAATAAAAGGGGCAAATACTTTGGAGTCACACCCAATGTTCAAAATGGGCACCCCTAAATCTGCAAAGCACCACTCAGCTCATGGCTGGTGCAGTTTTAAGCCCCCACTAAACTTGCACATTTCCAAACTCAGACCATGACAGAAGCGCCACTTTTTTTTTT